ATCAGTATAAACACTAATTTTTTAGAGACACTTAAGAAGGAACTTAGAGATTGTAGTGGAAGAAGGCAACGAAGCAAAGAGTCAAGACTGCGGAGCTCGAACGGTGTGACTCGGATGTGACCTGCAATGTCAGCCGGAGGAAGTTTTCGCCAGGACCCACGCAATTGGAGGATCGGATGCCCCATGTGCGGGCAGCTTGCGAGGGACCGTGTTGACGATGCTCACTAACCAAGCTCGACATCATCCTGACCTTGTTGACCGTATCATGGCTGTAGTGCACCATGTGTGATTATACCTCGGTCATAGAGTGTACGTGCAGCCCCCGGCGTTTCCTTTTTTGGGACCTAGTCCGGCCAATGCACCACGACGCCTCGATCTCGTCATCCTGCATCCTCCAGACCTGTGCTCATGCCCATTAATATGAATTTTCTAGTCATACTATTTATGAAAGTAAGCTCCGATACTTTGCTTCTATTTAAGATATAATTTTCATGAGTCATGACATCATTGATCAATCTGGAGTCTGGTCAGTGGATCGTCGTTTGCGGCGAAGCCAAACTTGAAGATTGAACTGCAGAGCTCTATCGATATGCCAGAGGATAGCCTAATACCATTCGGAATGACTGTGCGAACGATTTTCTTGCAGAACAGTGCGAATGAAAGTCACGGAGTGTCAGTTACAAACATCAGCTCTTAGCAGATGAAAGAGGGATCACAACAACTCCAGTTCCGGTCAATGGGCCGATATGTCCAAGGGCTACGTGCAGTGTTGTTCGAGTTTTCTTCAGGCCTGACGCACTTTTAAGGCATATCAAGTGTCTTCATGCATGACAGCTGTAGTAAAACGTTGATGATCATCGAAGTCACAATTGAAGGGTAAGGTGATTTGGAGCGCAGGAGGGTTTACGCAGAATTTTTTGTTCTTGGGGAATTGTGGGGATTCTGATATGAGATCTTCTATATTTCTATTCCATCTTCTTTTTCAAACTGAAAGTATTCAAACTTTCAGATACTATAGTCCATAATACATTCATTATAACAACTTAGTTAAACATTCATGGAACCAAATAAGTACCGAGGCTCAATCACAGACAGTCTGAGGTTTTGCCGACTATCGACGGAGGGCCTACCACGACAATATATCCAACTCAAGGGCAGGTATTTAAAGAATTAAATGATGGATTCAAGCTAAGTATGTACAAAAATGGAATCCCGTTATAGCTGATAATAGATCCTTCACGTTCGATTGATAACTAGCTTACCAACAATCTTACCAACAATCTCGATAGTTGGTTCAATCAAACAGACTCCGCTTATTCTGAGAGCAAACATTAAAATTAGCTCTTGAATATTCGATCATTTTCAATGGCCTACGTGTCAACGAAGATTCTCCATTTCATATCGTTGTTCACCTAGACCCCGTATTGAATCACCCTCTAGTAGTCCATCCAAGAAACTGTAATTGATCGAGCGTATTTCCTCATCGCCAAATTCGTACATTAATGCACGGTCAGAGTACTTGGATATACTCGTCGAAAGATGTGACTGGGATACGGTCGACGGTCTGGTATGCCAATTACCGCTAAGTTTTCGGAGTTGTATAAAGAAACGACTGATGATTACGAATGTAAGCCTGATGATGCTAATTTAATGATTAAATTAAAATTGACAATAGTATCTCTTACGCATTGCCCAGCGGAATATCGATCCCGCTAACGGATGGCTGTGTAGCAGTGAGACTTATGATACGAGTAGGATTAACAGTGTATGTCTCACAGCCAAAAACTAATAAATTGTGTGCTGTAAGTCTTCCATGTTCTTTGAGGGTGAGAAAACACCTACAACTCGCATGCAGATTGATTCAATATCGCGAGCAAATAATAGTCTATTCAATAAAAATGTTAGACATTATCTAAGTCTAGCCGTATATAAATTCACTCAACATGCAGAGGATGACACCTTTAAGGAATACTTTCAGTACTTAGAATACTCGAAAATAAATGGCTTACTTTGCTGAAGTAGTCTTTTGGACGGACGGGCTTCGGAGCTCAGTATATGGTGTGGGTCATCAGGAAAGCTGACACGGGCGGCTAAATGTCTTCCTAGCTCGTCGATTTTCTATCTAGTGCTATCTGGCCTAGGACTGCTATGGATCGCTAAAGACCGCTAAAGACCGCTTGATTCTTTCTGCCTTTTGTCTTCCTTCAAAATCTCACGCAAAGCTAGGAAGCGAAGGTTCCAACAAGTCACGTGCATTTCCGACTACCTTCGTCTTTCTAAGGGGAACCAC